TCAACGTCAGAGTACGGACAGTAGCTTGGATGTGCAAACGCCTTCCTTGTACAATTACAGCAATATGAGTTCTCCTTTAGAGTCAACCGGGCAAGCTTTGGGTAATGATCGTCAGTCAGATTCAGCACACTCTTCCAAAGAGCCGAAGACGATGATATCCTTCCTCTGTGATTCGAGTAGTAGCCACTGAAAATGGCAACATCTCAAACTCGAGAGAGCTCTTCATGGTGTTTGTCTGCCACTACCGATCATTTTATGTCTTTTACTGAGGGTAGCTGCCATCTCCAACTGGTATACAGGTTTGCCGGCCGACATTGCCGATAAGTTTGTGAGAATCATGGCCGTTTAGTTTGGCATTTGTCACTGTCATACAAGTACCCTGGCAGAAAAATATTTGAACCATCGATTTGTGGGAGTTAATTTCTTCAGTCAACCATTATTTGTTTTTCAGCCGAAGGCTGTATTACATTAGTTCTTAAGTATTTCCCCACCGTATATCCGGAAGCTGCAACTCGTGCCCCGACTGCGCCTCGACGGTGGCCAGCCCTGGATCAATTTCTGGTTCTCCAGCGAGAATAGACCGCAGAGCATCAAGCTCTGTGTCCTTGGCTAAGAGGTCTGGCACCGCAGCCTCGTCCTCCACGTCCGGTTCTGCTTCCTGGTCCTCCTCAGGTCCAACATCGGCAGCCTCCACCTGGCTCTGGGGGATAGCATCCAGGACATTGCCATCTTCAGGCAATTGACTCAGCCGCTCGTCATTGATGACGATGCATCGATAGCCAGGATGGTGGCGGCGGAGGTAGTTAAGCCATATGGTGACCGGCTGGCGGCGTACACGGAACTGGCGGGTAAATTGGCGGCTAAGATTTGCGTGGGACGAAGTATTGGCAGGGCGTAGTAACACGGTGTTCAACTCCTGTGGTAAAAGCGGATGTGGTAAAAGCGGAAGCTGGTTATACACTAAGCCAACCTCGCGGAGGAAGTGAACTACGTGGCCCCGATACTTGTACTGCTGCCCTCGCACAAGCATAATGTTCACGTGGACGTGAACACGAGCAATCAACGACTCCTCGGTAGGTGTAAGCTGGGGCAATCGCGCCGGCACAGGGCCAAAGTCGAGCTGATTATCCGCAGAGAAGAAATACGGCTCGCCGGTGCGTCGTTTCGCGTCTTTTCGATAGCAACGCCCACAGATGCCGTCGCTATCGATCTTCATCTGAAACCAACTCTCTTGGCATCTACTACAGTATTCCATCTGGTCATTGTCAAGCGTAGTCCAGAACTCGCGGAGGGTAGCCTTATCACGGTCAGTCAAGGCGGGAGCATCAAGATCGCCATTCCACACCGGATCTTGTGCATGAAAGACCGCCGATTCTTCAGGTGGGATTATCACCGGACTCCGAACACGTCGTGGCGGTAA